TTTAGTTAACTATGGCAATAAAGCAAGGGACTAAGGCTTCATAGGGCAGAAGTGTCCATCACCACCCTTCTAGGAGTGCAGGAACTCTGGGTTCTGAGTCTAGTGCAGCCTGCTCTTGCCTGCTTAGGACCTGGATGGTGAACTACAGGAGCATACAGCATACTGTCTCAGCCGGAGAGTGACAGTGCTTGGTTTCTGTATTTCCCCCTTATTTTTACATTTAGCACTTAGAGTATTTCGGTGTTAAACCACATCCTCAATCCAGTGTTTAAAAGAACACTAAGTGCCTGAGCAGCAGACCAGCAAGATATTACAAGGGGAAAGAGTATCTGTCATCAACCCATGTAACTCTCATAGGGATTTTCTCATGCTTTGAGTAAGAGACAAGGAAGTATTTGAGTTTATAGAGCATGTAAAGTAAAAAAGAAAGAAAGAAAGACAAAAAACCCCTGTGAACTAGGGTATTGCTCAGTAGTAGACTACTAGCCTAGCACCATAAAAAACAAATTTCCTTCTTTCATTTAAGTATTCAACCTATATATCCTATTAGTATACTTAAACTTTTTTTTGTGCTCTTCCTAATTTGGGCAGATATGAAGGCAAATGATAATACATCGCACATTTTTGTTTCCTGAATTATATCAGTTTCATGAGAAAGTTATCCCGAGCTCAAACAAGTTCAGCTGTATGTACCCTGAAACAAATCGAAATATACACCTTTAATTTAAAGATTATGTACATGTATATACATGTGTTATAACATGGCAAACAAGGCACATTCTAAAAGTTTACTAGCAGATGAAAAGTTTGCAACTCAGAATACACTTCTTATAGAACTAACTTGAAAAGGGTGATCAGGTGCCTGCACCATTCTACTCACACAAAAATTTAAGCCATAGTGCTGTAAGTGGATTATGAGGATTAATACTATTACTACTATGGAACTTAATCACTTCATGTGGCACTGGGATTAAAAATTTTTGTAGTTCTAAAGTACTAGAGGTATCTCCACAGGTGTAAAGGAAGGGAGTTCAAAAAAGTGGAAAGCAATTCCTGTTGAGGCAGGGTCTCACTGAATAGTTCAGGCTGGCTTTGAACTCACTATGCAGTCCAGGCTGGCCTGAAGCTTGCAGCAATACTCCCACTTCAGTCTCTCAAGGGCTGGGATTATACAGGCACGCTTCTACCCATGGCAAAAGTGGAAGGTTTTTTAAAGAGGAATGAAGAACAAGAAAAGGGGAGATATGGGGAACAGAAAACTCACACTAGACTAAATACTCAGATCATTTAGTGACTCACTCACTCTCAATAGAAATACTTTCTGAGATACACAGGGATTAGTCGACCTACTAATGGTGTTGACAACCAGGCTGGGCATGATGGTACATGTCTGTAATCCCATCATTCAGGAGACTGAGGCAGGAGGAGTATTAGTTCAAGGCCAGCCTGGGCTACACAGTAAGTTCCTGTCTCAAAATTTAAAAAAATTTCTAATGCTTTTAACCAGTGTTTCATCTTGCTGATCTACCATTAACGGAAACAAAATAAGCAAAAAAGACAGGAAGTTATTAAAATTGTCTTTAAGAGCATCATTCTCCTCTATCCTTTAGGAGAAAAATGAAGGCTGTGTCACTCTCTGGGTAAAGAAAGTACTAGATAAAGATCTGAACACTGTTCACACAGAACATTTTCTCACAGGAGCTTACATAGCAGAAGAAAATCAAGATGGGAAAAAAAATCAAGATGGGGAAGAAGTTAAGAAAAGGGAACTGGGACGAAAGATGAAGCACTAGCGGTCTGAGGGAAGACACTGACCACTTCTTCCTCCCCTGTTGGCAGCTGCCAGTTCTCACAGCAAGGTGAGGAAGCACAGGGCGGATGCTCAAACCAAACCTGAGGTGTGTGGAGGGACACTTAAATCATCAATGGTGGAAAGGAAAAGAGAATTCTAGGTTATCAGGCCACCAACTGCAGTACAGTCTGAAGTGAATAATCAGTGTACATGAAAGGTGGCTTTGTTCAGCTTTTCCGACTTATAGGAATCTCAGGAAAGCCAGTTGGGGCGGGGGATTTAGCTCAGCAGCATAAGCATCTGTTTTGCAAGCAGGCAGTTGTGAGTTTGATCCCCAGTACTGATAAAAAGGAAAAAAAAAAAAAGAATCTTGGGAAAATGTCATCAATCACAAGGGTTGCCTGAATTTTGCTGATAATATACGTTAATCTACCTTCATACTGCAAGCATCTCATTCTGTGATGAAAAGCAGTGCTGAAGTGCAGTCAGCTAGCCCACTGCATCACACTACCATCAGAGCGCAAGGCCTGATGTTTAACAGGTCAAGAGGTGGTTTTTAGTTTCTTCTGGAGAGAAGAGACATGCAAACAGCTGGCTGAGCACCTCCCCTCCCTGGTAAGCAGCGGTAGTGTGGCCCACTGCAGCCCTTCCAGGGGGAGAACTAGCAGTGTCTCCTGAGATCCACACCATGTTGGAACTTAGGACTCTGGGAAGCCAAGCCAGCACCTCCCCTCCCTGGTAAGCGAAGGCAGGGTGGCAGAGTGTAGCCCTTCCTGGGGGAGAACTAGCAGTGTCTCCTGAAATCCACGCCATGTTGGAACTGAGGACGCTGTGAAAATAAATGACAATCCTGCCTCCCTGCTTAGCAATAGTGAACCTACTGCTACATGGCCTAGAGTCAAATATCCCACTTCCCCTATCCTCCTTCTCCTCCTCCTCCCCGCCCATTAGCCAACTGGGAACCAGAAATCTGAGCATCTCCTGGGAGGTTGACCATAGCAATTAAGGGGGACTTCCTTCTACCATTTCTTTGAAGGCAAATATTTTTATTACTGTTTTGCTCTTTTCTGATTAATGGTACTGCTCTATTCAATATTCTGTTTTGATAAGTTCTATAGTGTTCTATATTTCATCTCATTTTGATATACGGGATTGAAAGAACAACTATTATAAAGATAACAAAATATACTGTGATACCTATTACTGTTATCTTGGTAACCTGCTGTGAAGTTCTGTACCAATATCACTGTACGATCTTAGTTGGCTTTATTCTGACTTGTTCTGATGTATGCTTTCAAAATAAAAATTAAAAAAAAAAAAAAAGAAAAGAAAACAGCTGGCTAGACCCCAAGCTACAGAGAGGATAAGGCAGGGCTGCGCACAAAAGAAAACAATGTATACCCCTCAATCATCTAATTCACCCACCAGAAACAAGTGACAGAGAGGCACAAAGCAGGAGCAAAATGCAAGTGTTGGTGTTTCTCCAAGGAAGGCAGGTGGGGAAGACATCCTCACTCTGCATCTCCCAGGCTGATCTGAAATGCAAGAGGGCTAGGGCAGCACTGCGGAACCAAGAACCAAGGGAAATAGGGAAACAGTATCTCCCACATAGATGCCTATACACAAACCCTTGAGGGCTAGAGGGAGGGCTCAGTGGTAGACAAGGTGCTTGCACATGCAAGGCCCTGGATGCAATCCCCAGGGCAAAAAAGAGATTTTAAAAAACACAAATGATGGGGCTGGGGACTTATCTCAGCGGCATAAGCACCTGCCTTGCAAGCAGGCGGTCATGAGTTCGATCCCTGGTACCGATAAAAATGAAAAAAAAAAAATACAAATAAAAAAATAAATAAGAAATTAAGTGTTATTCTTGGATGAAATGCTGAAGAACAACGGGTAAAGGACAGTGCTGTCACTGGCACTGGCTCACTGCTTCAGTAGTCTGATGAGCAGTACAATTGGGCAAAGCTCACTCTTTGGTTGACAAATATCATTTTAACATCGTGGATTCCACAAATAGAATTTTAGCGTGATAGTGATTCACTATCTTGCCAACAATTGTGGATCAAAGTCTACTTGGGTTTTTTGTTTTGTTTTGTTTTGTTTTTGAGATAGGGTCTCATTATGTAGTCCAGGCAGTCCGTGATCTCACAATGTAGTCCAGGCTGGCTTTGTACTAATGATCCTCGTACTGCACTTAGCTAAGAGGTAAAGAAAAAATGTACCTCTACTTGCCTCCCTGACATTTTTGAGACAAGGTGTCACTATGTAGTTGAAGCTGGCCTTGAATGCAAAGCAATCTTCCTGCTTCATCCTCTTGAGTGTTGACATCACAGGCATGCACCAACACTCTCAGCATGCCACATTCTTTTAAAGTTTTAGGCAAATGCGCCAAATGTGGTGCATGTCTGTAATCCCAGCACTCACATGGCTAAAGCAGGAGGATTGCAAGTTTGAGGCCAGCCGAAGCTAAAGAGAGAATCTGCCTCAAAAACAAGTACCAATGAAAGTTAAACAAATGAAATGCAAGACAAAGAAACCAAAAAGCAAACAAACAAACAAAAGAACAGAAAATAAAATTAGACCATCAAAGTTTGTGACTTACAGATTTTTGGATTTCCTTTAATAGGAAACTTCACAATCATTTCCTGGGGATTTTTGCAGATGAAAACAAATGGAGAATCAGATTCTTGACTGATGTCTGGAAACTTTAAAAATATAAAATTAAAAAGTTTAGGCCAGTTGGGACAAACTTTGACTTTAACAGAGATTAAAAGAGGTCCCATATTTCACCTCTAAATTCTGATGACAGTACTCTGCCTCACAGGTAGAAAGGGTTATGCTTAACAAGCGAGAAACAAATTCTACCTTATCATAGAGTTATGTGGTCTGTTCACCACCATCTTTGACCCTCCTGTAATAGAAACAGCTTTGTAAACAAAGGATTGCTGGCACAGTTCCGGGAGGATCAAAACTATTCTTTTAACACAAGCACATGTGGGTTGGGAGATTCAGGGGTCTCCCTGAGGAACATCAAGCATCCCCTAGATCCACTCAAGTGAAGCACTAGGAGACTTACATAAAATAAAAACATTTGTGAAAATTCTGCCAGAAACAGTACAGTCAGTCCTCTCACTAAAGGGAAGGAAGATAATTCATTCTGAAAGGTATGAACATGCAAAAGCTGTTTCACTGGATGCAGCCTAGATCTACTTAGGGTCAGAGTAACTGGGGGAGCAGCTCTGAAAATTGTTCAGAAGCCTACTCTGGATTTTTTATTATAAAATGAACTTGCCTGAATCCTTAGGACTTTTCTTCCTTCTACAAAAAAAGACACAGAACTGACAGGAATACTAAGCTGTCTGCACAGCTGCAATTTAAGGAAGAATGAAGGTTGGTGGAAAATGTTCTGGAGCAATGACCAACTGATCTGGTGTTTCATTGCTTCTTGTTTTGGAATGTCTTGTTTTTAGCATGCTGGACAAACATGAATGAGAAGCATGTGTGTCAGACTTCATTACTAGAGAAGCCTGTCTCCTGGTAAGTAACCTTCAAAAGTGTAAAATTATTTTCCAGTCTAAGTCACTTGTTAAAATTTATCTTCTAACCCTCTATGGCTCTAAAATAGAGATTTCAGTAAAAAATGTAAGAAAATTCAAATTTCTCTATAACAAGTGCAAGTATAAATAATTATTTTTCTGAACCACTATATCCAAAGTTGTAAGTGATGATTTAGGAAAAATTAAAGACATTTGTATGGAACAGGTATGGCATGCACTTGATAAAACATAAATTTAGGCTGGGCATCCTCATGTATGTTTAAACTCTGAACTATGTGGAAAACTAAGGTAAGAGGATTTCAAGTCCGAGACCAGCCTGGGCAACTTAGAACCTGCCTATAAATAAGTAAGCTATATACATATTCATGGTGGAAAAGAGTAAAGATAGGAGAATAAACCCTTCTATTTCCTTATGCCCTGGATCCTTAGAACTCTAAGAAAAGCAGAGCTCAGCTGTTATTGCTGGGTATTAGAAGGAAATAAGTTCGTGTAAGATCCCTGTTGGGGGTGCTTTGGCACAAACAAGACGAGAGGTTACCATACCAGCAGCACTGTTAAACCTACCTGCTTGTACTGGCACATATCCATGATCCCAGCTACTTAAGAAGCTGAAGCAAAATGCTAGTCTAGGGAACTTAGTAAAACCCCATCTCAAAATAAAAGAATAAAAAGGATGTGGGACATAGACACCTCCCCATTCCCCATGTAAAAATGCTAAACAAACAATAATGAACTTTAAGCCTGATTCTAAAACAAAACAAAACAAAATAAAGCAAACCCTGATTCTACAGATGCCAAAGTCAACAGTCACAATTACCATCTCTTCAACTTCCTTTTTCAACTTTCCTGCTTTCCTTTCTCTGTGTTCACAAAGTGTCAAGAAAAGGACTTCACAGCTTGGTGTTTCCAAAACTGAAAGCCATGGGCAAGGGATATAGCTCAGCAGCACAGTGCGAGCCTGGCAAGTGAGAAGTTTTGAGTTCAATTCCTGGTACCAAAAAACAAAACACAAACAAAAAAACTGCAAGCCATCTCAGCTATTCTCTCCTCTCTCTTCCACATTAATAACTCTTCCTTTTCTACTAGATCAATCCTGTTACCATATAAGCACTCTGTAATTTCTGCTGTAAAAGTGTAATTCCTTTCCAGTCCCTACATCTCATACCAGCTATTACTCCATTTCTCAGATCCTTTTCACAACAAAATTCATCAAAATTCATCTATATTTCCTGATTTCAATTTCTCTATTATTTTAATTCATTATACACAGGATTTTATTTCCACCACTACACCCAAACTGCTCTTATAAAGTTTGTCTTAGTTACTTTTCTCATTGCTGAGATAAAATACGCAACACCCAAAGTTGAAGGAGGAAAAGTTTGTTTAGCTCAGTGTACAGAGGTTTCAGTCCATAGCTGGCTGGCTCCAAGGCAGAGTAGTATGGCAGATGGGCATCACAGAAGAGAAATAGTCCATGGTAAAACAAGGCAGGCAGAAGGCAACAAGCAGCAAGCAGTAAGTAATGCTGCGACAGTAACCTGCCTCTTATACCTTTTCCAGGCTATCTGCCCTTTGGATGGTACCACCCATACCCAGGGTGGGCTTTCCCACTATCCATACCTAGAACTATGCCAGACTAATAAATGGACTGATTTGCTAATTACACATCCTTAATCCCAGCACCATACTCTAACCCAGCCACCTTCAAAACTCCAGCCTATGACTGCATGAGGCTTAGGGGGACATCTAGACACAGCCATAACAAAGATTACTGCTGGTTTTCATGTTATTAAACCAAATGGTCAATTCTCAGTTCTCATTTTAATTATCTATTTGTAGAACTTAAAAAAAAAATGTTTTTTTCAGTGCTTGGAATCAATCCCAAGTGGCTGGCACAGGTTAGGCTTCTAATAGTAGGATGAACCATTCTTTCAATTTAGCAAGTGAATTGTTCTTTTGCTCTTTCTTGAGCATATTCCTTGTTCAACTTCCAGATGTCACTCTCTTCTTGGTTTTGCTACTTTGGTGGTTGTTCCTTTCCCCAGCCTTTGAGTGTTTAGCACAGCAGGGATTAAAACTCAGACCTTGCCTGGTACCAGTTAAAAAAAAAAAAAAAAACCTCAGACCTTGGGGCCAGGGATTTAGCTCTGCAGCATAAGCACCTGCTTGGTACCAAAATAATAATAATAATAATAATAAAAAACTCAGACCTCTTTTCTCTATGTTTATAATCTGGTTGCTCTCTTTTAGCTTCCGAGTGAATAAAGCTATTTGTATGGGTTTTTCAAGGCCCTGGAAATGTAAACTAAAACTGCAATGAGATGCTACTTTACACTCAAAAAGACAAAATATTGTATGATTCTATTTATGTGAGGTACTTACAGCAGGCACGTTCATAGAGAAAGAAAGTAGAACAGAGGGTGTGAGGGCTGAGGGAAGGGGAAGAGGAGTTACTTAATGGATACAGAATTTCTATTTGGGATGATAAGAAAGTTCTGGAGATGAATGTGTAACTTCATGAAGGCATGTAGTACCATTAAACTGTAATGGTTAAATATGGTTAAAATAATGAATTTTATGTTACTATATTTTACCACAATGAAAATAAAATAAAATAAAATAAATCGAAGTCTTGCATTCTTTCCAAACTTGCTTCTTGTTCAGATCTCTTTCAATACCCTGTTTTTTGTTTCCTTATTTTTATGGGTACATATTTGTAGTACATAATGGTGATATTCATTTTGGGGAACTGGTACACGTACCTAACACACCTAAATTCCACCATTCCCCTCCTTTTGTGAGCACAACACATGTTTTTTCCATTCTTTCAGTTATCAAGCAAAAAAACTCCACCATCAACTCCTCTCACACAACCTTCAAAACAGATCCAGCATTGTACCACTTCTCCAGTGGAGGCTGATCGCAGCTCAGCAGTTGGGCACTTGTCCGGGAAGCCCCGCTCCCTAGGCTCAGTGCCTGCTACCACTTAAACAGAACCTCAGCAGTTGCCAGAGGGTTCAAGCCACTGTCAAGTCTCCTGGATTTACACAATGGTTTCCTGAATCCTACATGGTCTATTTCTACTTCCCTTTTGGTCTAGTCTCAACACAGTAACCACACCTAGTTTTATTTTTTAAAATCAAATCACATCTTACCACTTTCCTGTTTATAAAAGCCCTTACCATGACCTGCATGTCCCGAGATGATTTGGTCTCCTCAGTTCCTCTGTAGCACCTTCTTTTCTCCCTACTGTTACTCCACTGAGCACACTGACTTCCTCATTGTTTCTGCTTCTGGTTCTTTGCATTTGCCTTTTCTCTTTTCCTGGACTGCTTTCTGCCTTTTGATTTTACCTCTCAAGAATCTTCCTTCATTCAGGACTTTGTTCACATGTTAACTTAGAGGTGAACTTCTCTTAAATACCTGCGTGTATGTGTGTATGGTAATAAGGATTGAACCCTTTGCACAGAGCAATATTCCCAGCTTTTTTTTTTTTTTTTTGAGGAAAGGTCTCAAAGTGCCAGATTGCAGGTGTTTATCATCACGACCAGTTCCTAATTACCCCATTTAATATCACAACATTGTGCTGGAGACATATCTAGCACTGCAAAAATAAATAAATAAATACTCACGAGGCTGAGGCAGGAGGGTTACAAGTTGGAGGCCTGCCTGAGCTACATACTGGGACTTGGTCTCCAAAAACAAAAAACGCCCCAGAACAAAAGGTAGGTTAGGGAATGTGGGTTAGGGAATGTGGGCTGTTCTCAAGACTCTTCACAGTAGCCACTCTAAGTCTCCCAGACCCAGGGTGTGTTCTTATTTTTGCTTGTTTTATTCTTTGTTTGGTTCAGCCCAAGTTTGCTCAGCGGAGCCAGTTTCTCTCTTACCCCTACATAGGTCACTCGTCAAATAAACTTTTGGCACTGTTACAAAAAATAATAAAAGTAAAACCAACTGGCCGTCCAGATTGGTTCAAAGCCTTGCTGCTATTCCAGTCTGTGAAGAGGCCCATCTGTGTCTGGCCTGCAGTACAGGCAGGTGGCCCGCTCTTCTTTCACGCTCCTGAGCCCCATAGCTGTCTAACACAACCGATCACAATCTTCTTCTCTCCAGAGGAAAATTTCACCAGCCATTCAGAAAATATTTCTTTCCTAACAGGTAAAAAAATTTTAGTTTTTGGCAACAACTACTGATTTAGAATCAATGGATGTTTCCACCCTACTCTGTGATCCACCACTTGGTTCTTGGACTAAAACTATCAGTAACTCCTGAACTGCGTCACTCTTCACACCAAATGCCCGATGGCCTATATATCTCCTAACTGTCCTCAGCTAAAACAAACAGTTAAGGAAGAACTCATTGACAAAGAACATATTTTTGTTTTAGGTTTACTTAGTTTGAACTTTGGGGAACTAGATAGGATATGAAATCAGCTTAGAAATCTAATTAGCTGGAAACCAACTCCAAGAAGATTGAGGTGATAATAGAGAGAAGGAAAGGAGTCCGATAAAAAGGCCACAAGCACAACAGATCCAAAGCAACATACCCCAAAAGCAACTGTGATCCCTGAGAAACAGTTCTCCTTTACCTCTTCTTACAAAGCCACTCAAAGTGTTCACAGGATGATCAGCATCTCAGGCCCTGCTATATTGGAGGAGCAAAGTTTTCTCACATCAGGGTAACAAACTGACCATGACACTCTGACTGATGGTGTCTGTATATCTCACTAGGATTGAATGAAGGTGTCAGCTGGCCCAAGGTGGGACAGCTAAACTTCTATATGCTGTAACCAACTCAAGTTGCATGCCCAGTATCAAAGACAGGGGCTTCTAGCTCAGTGCTAAAGTGACAATCCATAAAAGAAATCAAAGGGGATAAGAAATGTGCACACTTGTGGGTCTGACAGCCACCTGTAGAAAATAATATGGGTGACGCGACAGAGCACTGGCCCCTGTGTCCCATTCTACTCACAAGAATATT